TCATGGGATTGGTGAGCAGTGAAAATGCCAGCTTGGTGTGTTCATGTATTTGACTGTCAGCACAGCTGGAGGCTGAAGGAAGCTTGGATCAACCTTCCTTCCTTTTCTTCCTTACTTTCTCCCTTCCAGGTTTGCCCATGTTTTCCTGGAGTCTGGGACATACGTTTTCAGGGATAGGACCATTCAGGAGCACTTCCTGATCGTGACTGTGAATGAAGCAAACGTGGGTTGTGACCCCCGAGATGTGTCCTTCCAGCCCTCTTCTCTGTTCCAGCTGGCCAGACATGGAGTTCTGAAGCAACAGGACCTGAACTTGGCTCCTAACTGGGCCACTATCACAGGTACAGCCAAAACACTGTGAGAGAGGGAAGGACCAGTTGTGCTTCTCCCCACTCTCTGCTTGAAGAATTCAAGTGAGGGCTTTGTTTCCCTTGGCTTGAAGGCAGAAAGTGCCAGAGTGTTTTAGTGCTAAACTCAGCTGAAATGAAAGACATCATTTATAAGGCTGCTCGAGGCTAAATACAAGGGCAGTCGAGGTCTTTCCTCAAAGCTGTGCCTCTTTAAGTGCTGTGCACATACCAGTCCCATGTCCATCAGTGGGAGGACAGTAAAGCAATAGAAATGAAAGTGTGGCTTGCATCCTCCTTGCCATCCCTCTTGGCTTTCCCAGCCGTTCTCTTTGTTCTGGGCTCCTTAACCGTGGTGCTGGCAACCCTGGCTGTAGTGCTCCAGCCTGCTGTGCCCATCATCAGCCCCCTGAAGGGTTGGAAGCCACGATGGAGGAGCCTGGGTGAGCCACACATCCCACCGGAGTACATCCTCCTTAAAGACAGGTAAACCCCCTTTGCATGGGAGCTATCAGGACACCCTGATGGTACAAAAGCATGTCCTGTTGCATTACTCTCAGTTCCTGATGCTGGACCTCTTGCCAGCTCTACAGTATGCTGTGTCTCTAACTGCACAGGGAGCTCGTTGGTGTTACCAGCAGCGTGGTGTGTAACAGCTCTGTTGTGTCCATCTTTGTTTTGACTTCAGAATCTAGCCAAGAAACCTATCCTCCTGCTTGGACTGGGCTGGTGATAGTGCAGGATCTGATTTTACTGAGGACGAGATACTCTTCACCCTCTTCTGTCATTCCTTTTAGCCTTCAGTTCTATCAGACAGTCGGTCCTCGTGCTTCTGGAGAAGATGCTGGCTTTGAAGAGAAGGGAGCTGTGCATAATGCAGGTAAAGTGCTGGGCCAGTTTACTGCCCATCCTTTTGTCTTCTGTTAGCTCTCTAGTGTGATACTTTCATACCTACTCACCAAGGTCACACAGCCACTTTGGCTGCCCTGTACTCATGTGTGCACATTTACACACACCACACACATTTCCATTCTAGGTTCATTTGATCTCCTCAGATGGGGACTGTAACCTCCTGTCATGGAATGGGTCAGTGTTTTATTCCTTAGGAGGGCAGTGGCCAGCCCTCTTTGGCCTTGTTTGCCTTTGGGAAATAAACCTCATCTTGGGAATTTCAGGATGTTCACAGGGTACAGTAAAATCCAGAGCACAGCCGATGGTGATGCTGAGAACAGAGGAGCAGAAACCCTGAGTTAGGAGGCGATAGAAACACTCCTCCCCCTCACTAAGGAACGGGACCTTCTCTTACATCTCTTGCCTCTTCTGCTTTCCTCCTTCACACTACACCATGCTGTTGCCTCCTATGGACAGGCAGTGCCCCTTGTGGGAAATAAAGACAGACTTGTGGCCACTCCCCAGACACTTTGTGTTTCAGAAGAGCATTTGACAGGGAGGCTTCTGGAGGATTTCAGTGTTCGCACCCTCTATGATAAGCTGGAAGATCAGAACTTGCACCTGGCATCTCAGCTGGCCAAGCACAGGATGGACGTGCTGGTGTTCTACAATGGAGTCAGCCTGCAGATCCAAAGTCTCATGGTCAGTGTGGAAACAACTGAGGGAAGGGAGTCTTGCAACTGCGACGTTTCTAAGATAAATGGTTCCCCTGCAGTGGCAGTTTGCTCCTTTCAGTCCCTTCTTTTGGCATAACATAGTTGTGCTAATTCCTGGTTTTATACAAGAAGCAGAATGGGTGGACTGTGGGACTTGCAGAGTTGAACACTGCTGCTCTCTGTAAGCAGGACATGCTGCAAGCACTGGACCCTGAAGACTTGAAAAGGGCTCATGAGCACAAACCTGCAGAGAGCAGCGGGGCAGCAGCGTGTGCTGAACAATGCGATGGGCACTGTGGACACAACTCCCAAGCAGGTGAGAGAGCCAAAGTGCAGAGCAAGAGAGCAGCAGTGTCAGGGAGCATCGGTGGGTGGCACAGTGCGTGAGGTGTACAGTGGATGGCTCATACACATGAGAGGACATCCCACAAGACCTTGTCTTCCAGTGGTGCTGTAGTTCTGTAGGAGCTCTGTAAGAGCTGACAGCCTGTCTTCGTGTGAGTTCATTGAGAAGCCAGGCACAGCTTAGGAACAGGTAAGCACAGAGTTCTTTGGAAATGCTACAGCACGAGGCAGCTTGGAGGCACTGTGTGGCATTTCCAAAGGTTCGTGCTCTTGGTTTTGCTCTGGAGATCATTGCAGTTCTTCATGTGGTTCTGTAGGAGTTCACTGAAAGTGCCTGTTGGGTTCACATTAGGTGCTCCATGGCAAGAGGCAACAGAGTTAATGAAAGCTCTGGAGATGCTGCTGGGGAACGCTCTGTACAAGAATGTGTCCCTGAAGCGGGCCATGGAGCAGAAGGTCCAAGGGCAGGATGTGGTGGCAGTTGTGCCCTCCCTGGACAGCCTGGCCAGTGAAGGTAAATCAGAAGCAATGGAAGGGCAGGTGAGTTGCAGGTGTCTTGTTGGGCCATCTCTCACCTTCCTGCTAGTTTTCCCACTTGCCCATTTCTTTAACTCCTGGGCCCTTTTTACCCCACAGGATCATGAACTACTTCAGCAGTGGGAGCTCTTCAGTGGGAAAGATGTTTTTTTCAGCTTCCCTGGACATGAAGAACATGGTAAGGGCAATGATTTGGTGTCCTGGGTTTGGCTGGGGTAGAGTTAGTGCTCTTCCTAATGCTGTGCTGTGAATTTAGTGTGAGAATAACGCTGGTAACACACCGATGGTTTAGTTGTTGCTCAGTAGCACTTGCTCAGTGTCAAGAACGTCTCAGTGTTCCATGCCCTGCCAGTGAGGAGGGGCACAAGAAGCCAGGAGGTAGCAGAGCCAGAACCTCAACTAGCCCAAGGGATATTCCATACCATGGAACATCATGTTCAGGATAGAAACTGGGGGGAGTCGGCCAGGAGGAGCTGATCACTGCTTGGGGCTGGGCATCGGTCAGCAGGTGCTGAGCAGTTGAACTGTGCATCGCTTCCCCCCTTGAGTTTCATTCCTCACGTGTGTTGTAGATTCCCAGCCACGAAGAGCCTCTTCCTCCTTTAGGCTTAAAAGTGCCCCCGTTTCCTTCAGGTTTAGATGTCCAGTTGGCTTACCTGAGCGAGTTGGAGGTGGAGAGCCTGATAGCAGCTTCTCCCCTTGCCAAGACTCTGTGTGAGATCAAGCAAGCTTTGGTGAACCTGCAGCAACCTGCAGACATTGGTAATGCAGGTAACATACCTTGCTCTGCACTGCACTGTTTCCCTGTAGTGGATAGGATATAAGATTACAGAATGGGAGAGAAGTTGTCTCTCACCCTTGGGAAAAGCCACACACAGATATCTGCTGTTGAGCTGCAGGTCGTTAAAGAGAAGTCACCTTTGATTAGCCCAAAGTGCTTGATTAATTCACATGTGCACACTGGTTTCATTTGTTCTGTCACCAGGGAATGTCGTTTCTTAGAGCTTTTTCTCTTCATCACAGTCTGGGAACACTCAAATTCACCCAAGATCAGGGTTAATTGCTTGGAGAGCAATTCATCACCAAGGCAGCAGGTTCTCTTCGTGGTTTATAGCAGCATGCACTGTGCAGATAGAGCCCAAGTCAGTGTAGAGTGCTTGGAGCCAGTTCCTTGGCCTTTGGACCAGGCTGCCTTGTGGTGGCAGAGCTGTCCTCTGGTGCTGTCCCCTGAATGTGCACTCTGCTTTTGGATTGCCATACAGATGGCACCCACCAGACCAGCATGGGGGGCTCGCCCTCTTCTGAGCCCTTCTTTTGGGTCACAAAAGAGGGATGAAGCTTTGCTGCTGGAGATACAGAGGAGCTGCATTGCCCAGAGAAGAGGCAGAAACAGGAGTTAATCTTCTGCAATGAAACAGCCACCAGCTCCCTTGAGGAACCTGGTCCTTAGCAACTGCTAAAGGTGGATTACAGGAGTGTGTAGCTTAGAGCTCCCACACTTCTACCTGGCATCCCTGCATTGCCTCCGTACACTCACACTGATCTCAGCAAGAGCTGCTGGCACACACCTTCAAGGTTTCTGCAGATATGATTTGAGGAGAGAGGACACTTAAACTATTCCCTCTATGGTGACTGCAGGGATCGGGGTAGCTGCCAGTGTCAGCTTCACACAGGATGCTGAGAAAGTCCTGGATCTTATGGAATGGGAGGGATCGATACTCTAGCCCACTGAACACTTGGAGCTTGGGGTTTCTTCCCCCAAAACCTGCTGTGAATGTAGCTGGATTCAGGATTTACCTTTATGAAATCACTGCATGAACAGCCCTGCTGCTCCCCACACAAACCGGTAGCGTTTTCCCCGTTCATTCCCTTTCATCCTTCCAGGATGCAGCATCTGAGGAACTGCCTCATCCCAGGACCTGAGTCCACAGCTCCCAGGCAGACTTGATGGGTTTTTTGCCTACTTAAAGTTCCACTTCTTTAGTCTCTGTCTTTATTGTGTAAGTTTTGTATGAGGAAGCTTCTATTAAAAGCCTGTTCACTGACCTTATGGCTGGTGGGTGATTCACTTGCCCTCTCCAACCCCTCACCCAGGGTTTGTCTCCTCCCTACCCCCAAGGAGTGAGCAGGTCCTGCCTGGAGGCGAGTTATTTACACACAGAGGACAAATTATGAGGTTTATTTCATATAAATTATGTCTCTGAGCAGACAGCATTCAACTTATTGCACTGGAGCACATCTGCGATATGGAGCTACAAGACATTGTAACAGAGGTTTGTATTACTCAGTGTAGCACTTCAGACCGGGCTCAAGAGGCACTCGAAGGGGGAGAACACCAAAGCCACCACCAGTATCTGCCAGTATGAATTGGGTTTTTCTTCCTATGCACCAGCAAATACCATCCCTCCTCATCCTCCCTCAACTGGTCTAAAAGAAATCCAAAAGCAGCTCAAAGGAACCAAAGCCTTCAACCCCCCAAAAAAAGCACAGCAGGTCCTCGCAGCATGAACAATACAAAGCTCTGGCTTCAGCTTCCCTGCGAGGGAGCCTGTACCACCTCAGCCAGAATGAAGGAATCCAGGTGAAGGGCTTTTGCTGGATAAAGGGAATTTTACCCCCAGGACCATTCCCTTCATGCTGGCATCCCTTCATTGTGGGAAGGACGAGCTGGGAACAGGGTAAAGCATGTTCTTCTTGGACATCTGCAACAGCCATTGGTGGGGTTCAGGCCTTCATGAGCGCTGCGACCACGGCCTTGGCGTTAAGGCTTCGCAGATCACAGTAGGTCTGTCCGGTACCAACGAAAACGATGGGCTTGCTTGTGATGTAGGTCATGGAGATGGCAGCACCGACCTGCCAAGCACAACAAGCACAATCAGCCACTCTGCCTCCTTGCTCTTCACTCAGCACATCGCTGAATTGGGTTGCAATGCAAGAGGAAGGGAAGAGATGCCACCCGAGACAGCACCAAAGCACCCTGTGTTGGACACTTCCTGCCTCTCCAGCGGGAAGCTCCATGTGGAGATGTCTCAACAGCCTCCTTACCTTGTCATCGATGGTATCAAACTTGGTGAGGACAATCCCATCAATGAGCCGTGGTGTCTGGGCCATGGAGTGATCAGCCAGGGCCTTGTTGAACTTGACCTGAGGGAAAAAACGGATCCAAGAAACTCTTTATGGTGCTGCCCCTGTCCACATGCCTGATAAAACCCACAGAAGCAGAGTTTTCCCCCCATAATCACAGACTGGTTTGGGTTGGAAAGGACCTTGAGATTATCCAGTTCCAACCCCCTGCCATGAGCACAAACACCTTCCATTAGAGCAGCTTGCTCCAAGACCTGTCCAACCTGGCCTTGGACACTGCCAGGGATGGGGCAGCCACAGCTTCTCTGGGCACCCTGTGCCAGTGCCTCAGCACCCTCACAGTAAAGAACTTCTTACCTCTAACCTGAACCTTCCCTGTTTCAGTTTGAACCCATCGCCCCTTGTCCTATCACTACAGTCCCTGATGAAGAGCCCCTCTCCAGCATCCTTGTAGCCCCCTGCAGATACTGGAAGGATAACAATGATGATGATACTCTATTTCCAGGACCCAAAGCCTGCTCCCTCACCAGCTGATCCACCGCCTCGTTTCCCACCAGTGCTTCCCCAACGAACAGGACCAGGTCAGGAGTGTTGACCGCGATCAGTTTGGCCAACGCCGTCATCAAGGGCGCGTTGTCCTGCATGCGGCCCGCCGTGTCCACCAGGACCACGTCGAAGCCCTGGTTCCGAGCTGGGGAAGATGAAGAGGCACCAGTGAGCAGGATGTTCCCCCAGAACAACGTCTCCCACCACTGGTTCTTGGCATGTACCGTAAGCGATGGCCTCCATGGCAATCCCGGCCGCGTCCTTGCCGTAGCCCTTCTCGTAGAGCTGCACCATGGTGCGCCCACCGTGGCTCTCCGGAGGGTGCAGGGCGTTGAGGCGCCGGGTGTGGGTGCGGAGCTGCTCCACCGCTCCAGCCCGGAACGTGTCACAGGCAGCAATGAGGACACTGAAACCATTCTCAATGAGCCAGAACGAGATCTGAAGCAGTAAAGAGAGGAAGAAGGAACACCCGTCAGCAACTACAGCCTCACCTCCTCACCCTGACCTCCTCACCAGGAGCACCGTGTCCAACCTTGGCCAAGTTGGTGGACTTCCCAACACCATTGACGCCACAGAAGGTGACCACATAGGGTCGGCGGTGGCGCTGGGCATCCATGACATCCCGGAGGACATCCACCCGGCGCTGGGGCTGCAGGATCTGGACCAGAGCCTCCTGCAGGGCCTGCTTCACTGTCGAGGTCACCGCTGGGAAGGAGGAGGTGGAATGAGCTCTCACCATCACACCCGGGAACGCTCCTGAGCCCCATACCATGAGCAGGAGGCATGGCCACTTACTGGTGAATGTTCCCATCACTTTCCCTTCCAGTTTCTTGGCCACTGACTCGCAGAGCTGCACCGCGATCTCAGCTGCCACGTTTTTAGCTTCAAGAGGGAGACAGAGAGAGGAGAGTGAGTGCTGCTGAGGTTACGCGCACCAGACATCAGCGTTGGGGGGAGCATGGAGTCACCACGCAGGATCCCCACCAGACTAGACCATTGACCCCCCCTTTTGATTCGCTGTCGAGGGTGAGACAAGAACCCACCACAGTCCCTGTGGGCAAGAACATCCCAAACCATGGGTGCTACCCCATGGAGCCACCACAAATTAACCTGCTTTCAGCAGACCCAGACCTACCAATCAAGTGATCCTTCATCTTCTCCAGTACGGGGTCCATGTCCCCTCTTGTCAAGCTCTTGGAGCCCACCAGGCCTTTCAGCATGCCGAACATGCCCCCCAGGCCGCCTTTCTTCACACTGTGGAAAAGAGGGGTCACCTTTCGGTTCAAGGGGCGAGCTGACAACCACAGCTTCACTTTGTCCCTACTTCTCAACCAGTTAAGAGTAGAGGAGTTACAGGGTAGAAACCAAGGTGTGTGACACATGGGGGCTGCAAGAGCCTCTACCTGGGCTTTGACGGGTTGTGAACAACCTTCTCCTCTTCAGCTTCCTCATCGCTCTCATACTCAAGGTCGTAGAGGCGGCCGGGCTCCCGATTCCTATCCCCCAGGGCCTGTGAGGAGGGGAGAAGACACCCTGAAAACCATCAACTGCTCCCCCTCACCCTGCTCCAGCCACATCCAGAGTCTCCATGGGCTGGGATCGCAGCACCCAGCTGATCCCAGCACAACCCAGGACACAGTGACCTGGCTTTTCCTTACTGCATCAGGGTCAAATTCTTCCACGGGACAAGCCTCGGCGCTCCCGTTGGTAGCAGAGTTACTGTAATCCAGTACTTTGGCATTAGAGTTCTCCAGATCCCACACTCTGGGCTTCTTCCCTTTCTCCTTCTGTGCCTCGGGCTTTGGAGATTTGCTGGAATAAAGACAGGAAATGTGGTTTGTTCAGTGCAGGGCAGCAATGACCTCCTTGCAAAATGTGAGAATTACAAGCCTGCATTAACCCCAAAAGGCAGGAATTAAGGCTAAACCTGGTTGATTTAGTCTCCACAGTTTCATTATCTGATGTTTGATCCTGTACCAGATCCCTTCACCTCAAGCCAGGCACCAATGCATCACTGCCCTTTGCTCACAGCACTCCTGGTTCCTGGCTCTTCCAGGGAAAGAATGGCTCAAGTGCCATTATACCTCCAGGACCCAGAGTGTGCCCTCTCCCAATCCTCCCAGCAAGCAGGGAAATAAGGAAAAGGGAAAGCAAGGTTTGAATTTTGGGACTCCCCAGAGGCTGGAGGGACTCGGCCACGGCTGAGGGACAGCGGGTTTGGACCACAGGCCGCCTGAGCGCGTCCTTGCCACCCACCTGGACTTCTCCCCTGCTTTCATGTGTCTCCTGAAGAATTCCTCCCGGTTCTTCTGCAGGATTTCATCCTTGGTCAGCTCCTCCCTGTCCCCAGAGGACTGCTTGTCACCTGCAGAGGCTTTGCCAGACGCTGCAACAGCTTCAGTTCCTGATGGAAAGAGCCCAACATGAGCTCAGGCCAGCATTCCAAAGCACAAGAGGACTGGGAAAGACACAAAAGTCTGGAACGTTTATTCCCTCCTGGCCCCGGCTTTCTTTCCCACAAACTCACCCTCCTTTTTGGAACCTTTGTTCTTCTTGTTCTTGACTTTCTCCTTTGGTTTCTCCCCCCGGGTTTCAATCATACACTTGACAGTCTTCTGAGACTTCAGAGACTGCTCAAACGTCTTCATTACCGTGGGAGCTCGGACTTTACTGCTCTCCTCTGCATCCCTGTGGAGAGGACACCTGTTAAGAGCCTGGATTTCAGCTCTACCTGCACTCTAAACAGGGATTGTGGGAGGAAAAACCAGGCTCTGCTACCGGAGGAGGCGCATGAAGTCGTCTTTAAAATCAAAGGTGCCATTTAGGAGGCCCAAGGTGCCCTTCTGCTGGAACTCATTGCGGTACTTGTCCCGGAACTCCTTGTGAACGTCGTCTATCAACTTGTCCACGTAGGTTAGAGTCAGGATCTTCTGAAACCCCACCTGGGAAGCAGCACAGGGGAAAGACGTTGGTCTACCACCTCATTTAACAGTCTGCCTGGCGTGGAGGGGAAAACCTCTCTATTCAATACAGTGCTCTTCACTTTAAAAGACAACGCTGATAAAAGCAGGTTAGCTGTTTCACAGCAACAAAGCTATGTGGCAGACCAGGGAAGGTTTTGCTTATCTTCAGGTGCAAATGGAGGCTGTGTAGATTTAGAGAGTTAAGGTCAGCCAGGTGACAAGGAAGTGCACTAAAACACTCAGGGCCAGGCTGGACTGGGCTTGGAGAAAGCTGCTCTAGTGGAAGGTGTCCCTGCCTGTGGCAGGGGGTCAAAACTGGATGAGCTTTAAGATCCCTTCATCCCAAGCCATTCTGTGATTCATTCTACAACTCCCTAAAGTAAAGAGATGGCCCAGGGGTCGGTGCTGGGAGTGATCCTGTTCAACATCTTTGCAGCAACATGGACAGTGGGATTGATGTGCCTTCAGCAAGTCTGCCAAACACACTTAAGTTATGTGGTGCGGTTGATACGCTGGAAGGAAGGGATGGGACCCAGAGGGACCTGGACACACTGGAGAGGTGGCTGATGCCAACCCCATGAAGTTCAACCAAGCAAAGTGCAAGGTCCTACACCTGGGTCAGAGCAATCCCAGGCACAGCTACAGGATGGGCAGAGAAGAGATTCAGAGCAGCCCTGTGGAGAAGGACCTGGGGGTGCTGGTCAATGAGAAAATGAACATGAGTCGGCTTCAGTGTGTGCTCCCAGCCCAGAAACCAACCGTATCCTGGGCTGCATCAAAAGGAGCGTGACCAGGTCAAAGGAGGTGATCCTGCCCCTCTGCTCTGCTCTCATGAGACCCCACTTGCAGCACTTGTGTCCAGTTCTGGTGTCCCCAGCATACTGTTGGAACAAGTCCAGAGGAGGCCATGGAAATGCTGCGAGGGCTGGAGCACCTCCCATATGGAGCCAGGCTGAGAACACTGGGGCTGTTCAGCCTGGAGAAGCTGCGGGGAGACCTCAGAGCAACTTCCAGTGTCTGAAGGGGGCTACAAGGATGCTGGAGAGGGGCTCTGCATCAGGGACTGCAGTGATAGGACAAGGGGTGATGGGTTCAAACTGAAACAGGGGAAGTTCAGGTTGGATATTAAGCAGAAGCTCTTCCCTGTGAGGTTGCTGAGGCGCTGGCACAGGGTGCCCAGAGAAGCTGTGGCTGCCCCATCCCTGGCAGTGTTCAAGGCCAGGTTGGACAGAGCCTTGGGCAACATCGTCTAGTGTGAGACATCCCTGCCCATGGCAGGGGTTGGAAGTGGTTGATCTCAAGGTCCTTTCCAACCCAAACCATTCTACAGTTCTGTGATTTCTGGCTGGTTTTAAACAGACGTGGTCAAAATCAAAGGTTTCATTAGGGCAGAGCAACCCCTGCAGCATCTCCTGGAGGTTTAATGAATCTAAATGATGATCAAAATTAGCGGCTCCACGGCAGTGTGTGGCCAAGACCCCCATCATCCCCAAAATCCTGCAATCTGGGAGCCAAGATAGAGCCCATGGCAGTCAAAGCCCCCTTCCTGGGGTACCCCCTCTGTGGGGTTTTGGGGTGACCTGGGGCTATCCCTTACCACAAACACCAGCTCAAACTGGTTGTCCAGCTTGTACTTGAGCGTGAGGGCTTCATGGGTGAAAGAGTTGTTGCCACCGCGCTCCTGGGGACAAGGAGACATTGGAAAACTGGTGTCAGCAGTGAGCAAACACCCCCCTCCATCATCCTTAGCCCCCCCCCCCTTCCTCCCCCAAAATGGTCCAGCCCATACCCCTGGGCAGGAGATCCCATCCTTCTTCCCCCTATGGCTCAGTTCTCCATATGGGTCAGCCCACCCCCAGCACGGGTCATTTCACCCCCGTCCCCAGGCAGGCGGGCTCGCCCCTGTCTCCCCCCTTTCCCCAAGCAGATGGCCCCATCCATTTCCCCCTTAACCCCCCTAATGGATGATCCCACCCCCAGTACATGACGATGCCCGTGTCCCACCCGCTCCCCTCCAAGCACTCCCCGTTCAGGTCCCCCTCTGAACGCAGGAAGCCACCCCCCCATCACCCTGAAATGGTCCCGCCCGCCTCCCCCCCACCCCCTCAGGCAGATGGTGCGGCCCCGCTGCCGTCCCCCCGCCGCCGTTCCCCCGCGGCCGCCGCGCACCTGCAGCAGCACGGAGCGGATGAGGGCGTTGACGGGCGCGGTGGCGGCGGGGCCGCCCTGGAAGCACCACAGGACGAGCCCGCCCTTGCTGAAGATGGTGAAGAAGTCCAACATGGCGGCGGCGGCGGCGGGACCGGCTCCCGCACACGTCGCCTGCCGGCCATGCTGCGCGGGGGGAGCGCGCTGAGGCGGGGGGGGGCTCCGTGCCGGGCCCTGAGCACCGGGGACATGTTCCGGGGTGAGAGCGGGGCTGGGGCAGAGCCCGGAGGGGCTGCAGGGAGTCCGGGGGGTCCTAGAGGGTCGCAGGATGGTCCCAGAGGAGAGTGGGAGGATGCAGGGGGCACTGGAGTCCATGGGGGGGGGGGAATACAGTGGGTTCTGGTGGTTCCAAAGGCCCCGGGATGCTGAGGGTGCACCCAGGGAACGGGGGACGGGGGGGCGTTTGGGGGGTCCAGGGTGTTCCGGGGGATGCAGAGGGCACTGGGGTGTCCCAGGGCTGTCCCCAAACCCATCATATACACACCCCCCGTACCCCATCAGAGCTGGGTCTGAGCCTGAGGCGCCTGGGGCGGACCCTGCAGGCTCAGCTGCCGGCGCTGGAGCCCGGCACAGGGGGCTGGGTCCCCCCGGGAGCGCCCCAGGACCCGCGGCCCCCCGAAGAGGCCGACGTGGTGGTGGTGGGGGGCGGCGTGGTGGGCTGGTCCGTAGCCTACTGGCTGAAGGCGCTGGAGGCCCGGCGGCACGGCATGAGAGTGCTGGTGGTGGAGCGGGACCCCACGGTGAGCACCCCCTCCTGGGGCAGGGCATGACCTTGGGCCCCCCCCCCCGGGAACCACTCTATGCTGGGGGGGTGTTTCTCTCTTTCAGTATTCCCGAGCTTCCACGGTGCTGTCGGCTGGGGGCATCCGGCAGCAGTTTTCCCTCCCGGAGAATATCCGCATGTCCCGTTTCTCAGCCAGTTTTCTCCGCAATATCAACGTATGTGGGGTCACCGGGAGGGGGGGTGGTGTCAGCGCGGGGAGGTCCAGCCCTGCTCAATGGGCGCCCCCTCTCCTCACAGGAACACCTTGGGGTGCCGAACGAGCCGCCCGTCGACATCCAGTTCCAGCCTTCAGGATACCTCTTCCTGGCCTCCCCGCAGGATGCTGATGGGTTGGAGGCCACTGTCAAGGTCCAGAGGTGGGACACGCACACAGAGTACCCCCCATCAAAGGTTTTTGGGTTTGGGGTTCTCATCCTGACACCGACCCCCCCCCCCCCCCATGCTGGCTCTACCCAGGGAGGAAGGGGTGCAGGTGACACTGCTGTCACCTACTCAGCTGAAGGAGAAGTTCCCATGGATAGACACAGAGGACGTGGCTGTGGCATCCTATGGTACGTGGGGACCCCATCACCACCCATCCTCATCCATATCACCATCTCCATCCTCACCCTATTTCCTGTCCTTATCCTCCTCTGAATTCTTATCCTGTTCCCCATCCCTATCACCATTCTCAACCCCATCCCATCCTCATCCTTATCTGTATTCTCATCCTCATTCCTATCACCATCCCCATCCTCATCCCATCCCATTCTCACCCCCATCCTCACCTTATTCCCCATCCTGATCCCCATCTTCATCCCTGTGCTCATCCTTATCCATTCCCACCCTCACCCCCATCCCATATAATCATCCCCATTGGGTGCATCATTCATCCCACCTTAATTTGGGGAAGGGGGCTCTTCCCCTCCCCCCCAGACTCAGGTGTGTTTGGAGTGGTCACACCGGCATCCCCCATGCCCTGTGTCCCACCCAGGTCTGGAGGACGAGGGCTGGTTTGACCCCTGGACCCTCCTCACCGCTCTGCGGCGCAAAGCCACGTCCCTGGGGGTGCTCAGCTGCGCCGGGGAGGTGCGAGGTGAGGGGGGGGACACGCACAGAGCGGGGTGTCCCCTGGGGGCGTCACGCCCTCACCCCCCCGATCCTCCAGGTTTTGTCACCTCAGCTGAGGACTTGATGCCACCACAGGGACTGGACCTGTTGTCCGCGCGCATCAAACACGTCCATGTGAGTGTGTCCTATCCCCCCCCCAGAACATACCTGAGAGGGGGAGTGACACCCCACGGGTGTGCAGGACCCCCCCCCCGCTCATGTGGGGTATGTGTCCCCCCAGGTGTACATGCAGGACAGCCTGGAGTACCAGCCCGTGACCTGTGCCATCGTGGTGAATGCAGCAGGTGCCTGGGCTGGGGAACTGCTGGAGGCAGCCGGGCTGCCCGAGGCGCTGCGCCAGCCCCCCCTGCCCATCCAGCCCCGGAAGAGGTGGGGAGGGTAGGATTTGGGGGGTCACATTGTGGGGTTCACATCCTGGCATCACCCTGGAACCTGTTTGTGCTCTGTGGGGATGGTGGCTGTGTCCCGGTACCCACCATCCATCCCTTTGCAAAGGGGCTGTGAGGCCTTCAGTGGGGTTTTGGGGGGGATCTCACACCCCAGCACTCACCACTCTCCATCTTCAAAGGCTGGTGACCCCTTGGTCCTTCTTTTGGGGTGCCCCTCCAATTGTCAGGAATGCTGTGAACCCTCAGTGCTTTCATTTCCACGCACCCCTTGATGCTCTGAGGCAGAACCCACCCCCCCTCATCCCTATGTTTTTTGGGGGCGGGATCTCCTTTATCCCTATAGGTACATCTTCTCCTGGCACTGTCACGATGGTCCTGGCTTATCCTGCCCATTCCTCATTGACACCACTGGTGCTTACTTTCGCCGTGAGGGCATTGCCGGCAACTACTTGGGCGGCATGAGCCCACCCGAGGTGCGCCCAAAGGGAGGTTCCTCTCCATTTATATTGATGATTTATGGTATTTTAATACGTTATTTACGTGGTTTCTCTCTGTAGTTTTCTTTCTAACTCCCTCGCAACCTGTTTTTCCTAGGAGGAGGAGCCGGATCCCAGCGACCTCTCCGTGGATCACAGCTACTTCCAGGACCAGGTCTGGCCGCGGCTGGCCCGGCGCGTCCCAGCTTTCTCCTCCCTCCGTCCCGGCAGCTCCTGGGCAGGTTACTACGACCACAACTCCTTCGACTGCAACGGGGTGGTGGGACCTCACCCCAGGCTGGAGAACCTCCTCGTGGCCGCTGGGTTCAGCGGTCACGGGCTGCAGCACGCGCCGGCGGCCGGCAGAGCTGTGGCTGAGCTGGTGCTCAAGGGTCGATATGAGACCTTGGACCTGAGCAGGTTGGGCTGGAGGAGGCTGGTGCAAGGGGAGCCGCTGGTGGAAGGCGGGGTGGTGTGATGGACGTGGGGAAACTGAGGCACGGGTGGGGGCCCACACTGTGCCCTGCAGCAATAAACGGGATGATGTGGAGTGTGCTGGGGGGAGTACATGGGGGGAATGGGGACACCCCTGCTGCCGTCCGGCTCTGCCCTGCACACAGCAGGCACGCACCAGTGCACCCCCTATTGCTCACGCAGTGCTCCCCAGCCCCGCTGCCCCCCCATTCTGGTGTCTTCACTGCCCACCCCCCCAGTGTCCCCACTGCGTTCCGTTCCCACCCAGGGCCCCCAGTGTTCCCCCATTGTCACCCAATGCCCCACCTGTCCCCATTACCCACTATTATCCCCCCATGACCTCCCAGCCTCTCTCCCAGTGCTCCCCAACATCCTTCCCATTGCCCCCATTACTCCTCCATGTCCCCATTACCCCTTAATATCCCCCTATGATCCCCCAACATCCCCCCCCACAGTCCCCATTACCCCAACATCCCCTTATGACCCCCCAACATCTCTCCCACTGTCCCCAATATCCCCCTATGACCCCCCAACATCCTTCCCATTGCCGCCTATTACCCCCAATATCCCCCTATGATCCCCCAACATCCCTCCCATTACCCCCAGTATCCCCCTATGATCTCCCAACATCCCTTCCATTACCCCCAATATCCCCCTATGACCCCCCAACATCCCTCCCATTACCCCAGTATTCCCCTATGACCCCCCAACATCCCTCCTACTGTCCCCATTACCCCCAATATTCCCCTATGACCCCCCAACATCCCTCCCACTGTCCCCATTACCCCCAATGTCCCCCTATGACCCCCCAACGTCCCTCCCATTGTCCCCATTACCCCCAATATCCACCTATGACCCCCCAACATCCCTTCCACTGTCCCCCTTACCCCAATGTCCCCCTATGACCCCCCAGCATCCCTCCCATTGCCCCCCATTACCCCCAATATCGCCCTATGACCCCCCAACATCCCTCCCACTGTCTCCATTACCCCCAGTGTCCCCCTATGACCCCCCAACGTCCCTCCCATTGCCCCCATTACCCCCAATATCCGCCTATGACCCCCCAACGTCCCTTCCACTGTCCCCATTACCCCAATGTCCCCCTATGACCCCCCAACATCCCTCCCATTGCCCCCCATTACCCCCAATATCACCCTATGACCCCCCAACACCCACTATCCCCATTACCCCCAATATCCCCTATGACCCACCAACATCCCTCCCATTGCCCCTCATTACCCCCAATATTCCCCTATGACCCACCAACATCCCTCCCATTGCCCCCCATTACCCCCAGTATCCCCCTATGACCCCCAAACATCCCTCCCATTGCCCCCCATTACCCCCAATGTCCCTCCCATTACCCCCAATATCCCCCTATGACCCCCCAACATCCCTCCCATTGCCCCCCCCATTACCTGCAATATCCCTCCCATTGCCCCCCCATTACCCCCAGTATTCCCCATGACCCCCCAACATCCCTCCCATTACCCCCAATATCCCCCTATGACCCCCCAACATCCCTCCCATTGCCCCACATTACCTCCAATATCCCCCATGAACCCCCAATATCCCTCCCATTGCCCCCAATATCCACCATGACCCCCCAACATCCCTCCCATTACCCCCAATATCCCCCATGACCCCCCAACATCACTCCCATTACCCCCAACATCCCTCCCATTACCCCCAATATCCCCCTATGACCCCCATCCTCTCCCAATCTCCCTCCCATTACCCCCAAGTGTCCCCATCACCCCTCGCTCACATGCCGCCCCCTGGCGGTGTGGCGGAATGGCTCTCCTCCGGCAGCGCGCCTGCGCGGGGCGGGGAGGGCGGCTGCGCGGCGGGAGCCGGGCGCATGCGCGGTGGCGGACGGGCCGCTGGAGCTGGGCCGTGCGCGCCGTGAGCCTGGCCCGCGGTGAGTGGCGGCAATGGGGGGGGGGGGGGGGAGATGGACGGGACGTGGGGTCAGCGTGTGGGAACCGTGCCCGGAGCCCTGGGGTGCTGCGGGGTCTGGAGGGATCCGTGGGGAGAGGCTGAGGTAACTTTGGGCCCTGCGGGGGCAGCGCTGAGGTAACAGCTTCAGGGGATCACGGGGGCGGCGGTGGCTTCAGGCGCGCGTTGTTGTGTGGTGGTCTGTGTGTGTGTGTGTGTGTGTGTGTGTGTCTCTGTGTGTGTGTCTGTGTCTGTGTGTGTCCGTGTCTCTGTGTGTCTGTGTGTGTCCCGCCTCCGATTCCTGGGGCGATCGTGCGAACAGCTGCGGTGAAGCAGTGCTCCCCACTGGAGTTATAGGGGTGGCCCCAGTGCCGCAGGTTTGAGGTAACTCTATCCCCCAGGTAACGGGGGGGGGGGGAGATGATGCCCGTGCCCCAGCGTTGCTGTGAGGCAGCTCCGGGCACCTCTGGGTGCTGTGAGGATCCCCTCTTTGCACAGCGATCCCCACCGCTGGAATCGCCCATCGGGAGGAGCTGTCTGCAGGAGCAGGGTCTCACTGAAGAGGTTTCCGTGCCCAAGGTGCCGGGAACAAAGAGAAAACTCTTTTGCTTTTGTTTCTGCTGGGGCTCTGCCAGTGTGACCTGGACCATGGACACTTCCTAAAGCAGAGACACCGTCACCCCCTCACACACAACCCCCCCCGGGATCTGAGTGTGTCTGCTCCAAAAGCTTCATTTTGGGGTGGCAGTGCCTGTGATTAACCTGATGTTTGTAACGCTGGAGGCTGGTTCTGCTTCCACAGCTTCATCCCAACTGGAGTTCGTGCTTCACGGGAGTGGGGTTCTAACCCTGGCAGGGTTTATCTTGGAATAACCCAAATAAAATCCGGTTTTTAAATTAATCATTTCAATCGTTTATCCCCTGTGCTGCACTCTATAAAGCAACAGCACCCATGACATGTTGGGGCTTGTGATACCAGCCTGCTCCAGAGCTGTGGGAGCTCTCGCCTAGGAAAAGCGATCAGTTTGGATCCCATTGGAAAAGCTCCATGTGCTTTATATTTTCTTTTCCTTAACTCAAAAACCTATTTCTGCAACGCTTCACAAGAAGCAAGAGACTCAGCACAAGGTTTTTGGCAAAGGGCTGTTGAGAGTTCTTACTGCTTTGGGCAAAAGCTGATGGGACAGCTCAAAGAGCAGCCCTGGGTTTGTCAGGCTCCTGAGTGCAAACCTGGAGTTTCTTCCCTGCCAGAGGAGGTGTGGAGCTGGATGGTGTTAACTGAGTGCTGGGCTTAACACATATGTTTTCACACCTCCCTGGGCTGGCTCTGCTGGCTTTTCTCTTCCCAAAATGAGTGGTGCAGTGAGGTGTTAGCATAGAACTACAGGCCATGCTGTTCCTGAAACTGAGGTTTTTAACATGAGGTACCACGACACAGGATGGGTCCTTTCTCTGCCTGTGTGTTTGAGGGGCCTGTAAGCCTGTTGGTGGGAGTAGCTTGGAATCCCACTGTGTGGTTAATGCCTGCCATGATCCTTTGTGTTTTCTCTCTCCACAGGCTCCATCCATTTCCCATCCCTCCAGGATGAGAGAGGTTTGGGTTCGGCTTTTCCCCTCTCCCTGTAGTTGATAGTTTTGGAACTGGAGGTGATGCTGGAGTCGAGATGGCAGACAGCGTGAAAACCTTCCTGCATGACCTCGTCAGGGTGAGTCCATGCACTGCAGCTCCTTTGTCATGGGGACTGGTCCTGTTCCCTTCCGTGGCTTCGTCCAAGGTGAATTAAAGAATTGGAAGGAAAAGGGGCTCTCAGTGTATGTTAATCAAAGACTTCAGTTTAGTCAGGCAGAGATACCTGTCAGCAGGCTTTCTGCTGTTAGAATTGAGGTAGCTCTGTGGGATGTGTTGCTTCCCAAGTGTTTTCGCAAGCTGGCTGCAGTGTGTCTGTTGCAAAGAGTCACAGTGATAAGGCTTCATGTGACCTCAGTGCTCCCACACCATCTTGTATCATCCAGGCATAAACACAGGCTCAAAAATGTTGGTGATGGGAATGCTAAGAAGTAATTCATGTTCAGAAACTGGTGTTTACTGGCCATGGCCTCAAGCAGAAGGATTTGGGTCCTAGAATCACCGAATGGTTTGGGTTGGAAAGGACCTTAAAGCTCATCCAGTTCCAACCCCTGCCATGGGCAGGGACACCTTCCACGAGAGCAGCTTGCTCCAAGCCCCTGTGTCCAACTTGGCCTTGAACACTGCCAGGGATGGGGCAGCCACAGCTTCTCTGGGCACCCTGTGCCCCCACCTCAGCACCCTCACAGGGAAGAGCTTCTGCCTAAGAGCTCATCTCAGTCTCCCCTCTGGCAGGTTCAAGCCATTCCCCTTGGCCTGTCCCTAGATCCCTTGTCCAAAGCCCCTCTCCAGGTTTTCTGTAGCCCCTTTAGGCACTGGAGCTGCTCTAAGGTCTCCCCTTCAGGAGCCTTCTCTTCTCCAGGCTGCCCCAGCCCAGCTCTCCCAGCCTGGCCCCAGAGCAGAGCTGCTTCAGCCCTCGCAGCACCTCCATGGCCTCCTCTGGACTCGCTCCAACAGCTCCAGGTCCCTCTTGTGCTGCTGCCCCCGAGCTGGATCAGGACTGCAGGGGTGGTCTCCCCAGAACACAACAGAAGGGGAGAATCCCCTCCGTGACCTGTTGCTCATGCTCCTTTGGGTGCAGCCCAGCACACGGGGGGATTCTGGGCTAAAGTGCACTGAAGTTAGGTCATAGGGAGCTTCTCATGGACCAACACCCCCAAGTCCTTCTCCTCAGTTATTTCACAATGTTCTCACAATTCATTTTGAAGTGAAATGTTTGATAACAAATGTGTCCCAAAGGTGGAAATAAGTGCTAGAGAGGTGTTGCTAGAAGTCTTTTAAAGCAGGAGCTGAGGCAGAGACTTCTTCACACTTCTCTGTTAACAGGTTTGCACAGATGTGGCTCCGAGGCTGTTTCAGGGATGCTGTCATCTGTAAAGCCACGAGCATCACACTCAGATGTATGGTCAGGCCACGAGGGGTTTGCACATCCTGAATGTTTGATGTAATTCTATTTTATTGGCCTGTAGTGGCTGGCGGGGGGGGAGAAGGGCTTTCTGCCAGGCAGAAGAAATGGGCTGTGAGAGATGTGACTCTCTGGGTTATAAATAGTGGATTTTGGATGAGAAATCACACCTTCAAAGAGAGGCTGCTGCTGGAACAGGCAGTGATTTAGGTCACCAGGCTATGGAGAACAGGCAGCACTCCAAACCCTGGCTCTGCCTGAGCCTGGTGCTGCCTCCTCCGCTCCGGGCAGCAAGGCTCATCCCCTTCCATAACCAGGAGGTGGGAAGGAGTGTTTGCAGCCTCTCCTCATGTCCACAGGGAATTAAGGACTCCATCTGGGGCATCTGCACCATCTCAAAGCTGGATGCCCGCATCCAGCAGAAAAGGGAAGAGCAGAGGCGGAGGAGAGCCAACAGCGCGCTGGCCCAGCGGAGGTTTCACTTGGAAGAGAAGAAGCAAGAGAAGTGAGTGTGGGGCCTGAGGACTGGTAATTCCCTTCTCCCAGTCCATCAAGGGTGAATCCAGGTTCTTTTTCCCCAGCTGTGCTGTGTTCCACAGCCATCTCTACCAGTTGCATCCACTAAGGATGAAAACACTGGGATTAAATCTCGACTGTGCTCTTGGCATGTCCATAGGTACATTGTGAGGAGAGAGAAGCCAAAACCAGCCTTTTCCAAGGACAAAATGCTCCGAAACCCCTCTAGTTTTATTACACTGAGAGATTTGAGGCAAACCAACCCTGAGCTCCCCTGTAAATGCTTAAAACTCAGGAGGAAAGCTCTGCTCTTCCATTCCAGCATGGATACAGGGTATTACCAAAGGTCCTTGATGTGTCTCTCTCCCGTTGCTCCACAGTGAACCCCGGATAGTGAGCCGGATATTTCAGTGTTGTGCCTGGAATGGAGGCGTGTTCTGGGTACGTGGGAATTTTGTTCTTACTGTGTTAAACCCCTCTGTGGAAACCAACCCTTGTGCACCTTTGGTGGTGAGCCATCAGCTGGGCTGCAGGGACCTGTGCCAGCTGCCATATTCCCAGTCCCACCACTGTATTTTAAGGGAACTGGAATATAGACCTGCTTGGGAAAGCCCACATGTTGAACTCAAGCTGCTTTGAGACAGCTCTGTGCAGGATATTGCTTCCCCAAGTTGAATATTGATTCCCCAGCTCTGACCTTGCCGTGAGGCCGATCCACATAAATCACCAGCTTCATTTTCCCATTAGGCAGAGGAATTGGCCCAGGAATGTTAAAGGGAATGTGCTCAGTTGTAGATTTGGGGTGGGTTTACGTGCCTGTCCTGGGGTGTTCCTGGATCCCCACGGGTAGAGGGTCTGGTTGCAGCAGCCCAAAACCTGACCCAGCAGCACCAAAACTTCCTCTTCCCCCAGCTCAGTCTCTTCTTGTTCTACCGCGTGTTCATACCTGCCCTTCAGTCCGTCACGGCGCACATCATCGGTGAGTTCCTTCCCAGCACCCCATGAGCTGCCATCTCCTCGCCTTGTTCTTCTCCTCCTCCCCAAGCTAATTAAGGCTGTTGTTAATTATCCAGGGGTAAATCAGAGATGGAGAGTGCCACTCACGGACTGTGTGGTGGGATCCATGCAGGGTTCTGCCACACAGTTGTCGCTGTGGTTTTGCAAATGCATGAAAAGCAAGTGGGATTCCTCCTGCTGGGGGCTCCCCTGGGAGCAGAGATGCCAGGGGGAATTTCTGACGGGAAAAGAAGGTTCCTCCAATTGAGGAGCTTCCCAAAACAAGGAGTTTCCTAAGATGAGGTTCCTTCAATGAGGAGGTCCCTGAGAAATGTAGCTTCCTGTAATGAGGAGCTTTCCAAAGCAAGGAGGTTCCTTCAGTGAGGATCTTCCTCCAACAAGGAGTGCTCTGAAACGCTGAGCTTCCAAAAGTAAGGAGCTTCACAAAACAAGGACGTTTCGTCCAGTGAGGAGCTTCCCAAAATGAGTAGGTTCCTTTAACATGGAGCTCCCAGAGACAAGGAGGTTCCTCTAACGAGGAGCTCCCTGAAACGTGGTTGTTCCACTGAGGAGCTCCCTGAGCTGAGGCACTTCCCTCGCAGAATCCTGACGTGTTTCCCTGTTTCCGGAAGGTGACCCTTCCTTGCACAGCGATGTCTGGGCCTGGCTGGAGTTCATCCTCACCTCCATCTTCAGCGCCCTCTGGGTCCTGCCCCTCTTCGTCCTCAGTAAGGTCGTCAACGCCATCTGGTTTCAGGTGGGTGCCCAGAAAACAGGCTCTGGGTGTATTCCTGGTGACGTAATCCCAGTGGATTTTGGATCCCCTCTCTCCTCTCCATCAGGACATTGCAGATCTTGCCTTCGAAGTCTCCGGCAGGAAACCTCACCCGTTCCCCAGCGTCAGCAAAATCATCGCCGACATGTTGTTCAACCTCTTGCTGCAGGCGCTCTTCCTTATCCAGGTGAGGATTTAATCCCCCCAAACAACCACATCCCCCCAGGGCCACCTTCTCCAGAGCTCCCCTCATGCTCTCACTGGGATTTTATCCATAGGGAATGATCGTGAGCCTCTTCCCCATCGATCTGGTTGGCCAGCTGGTTGGGCTCCTCCACATGTCACTACTGTACTCGCTCTACTGCTTTGAGTACCGCTGGTTTAACAAAGGTGGGAGACACTTCCAGATGGTATGTGTTGGGATGGAGGCTGCTCCATGCCAATGGTTGGGTTCGAATGGGCTTTCTCCCCCTTTCCCACCAGGAATCGAGATGCACCAGCGCTTGTCCAACATCGAGAGGAACTGGCCCTACTACTTTGGCTTCGGCTTGCCGCTCGCCTTCCTCACAGCGATGCAGTCCTCCTACATCATCAGGTGAGGGGAGAGCTGCCATTCCACATCCACGTCCTTCCTCACCCCAATGCCCTCTTTTGTGTAATTTTATCATATTTTGTTCTTTTTTTTCCCTTCAGTGGTTGCCTCTTCTCCATCCTTTTCCCCCTCTTCATCATCAGCGCCAACGAGGCGAGGACCCCTGGCAAAACCTAGTGAGTGAGACCCTTCGTGCCCCCAAACCTTCAGCCTCACCCCCCCCTCAAACCTCCATCCGGGAGGAAGCTCACGGTGTTCTCTTCCCTTTTCCAGCCACTTCCAGCTCCGGCTCTTCTCCTTGGTGGTTTTCCTCAGCAACAGACTCTTCCACAAGACCGTTTACCTGCAGTCGGCCCTGGGCGGTGCTTCCTCCTCCTCCGACCGCCCCCTTCCCCCTCAGCCCTCTCCTACCAAACACACGCCAGCTCCGGGGCACTGAGCCCCGGGTGGGGGTCCCCCGTGTCCCCCGGTGACCGGCAGCCCCCTCCCCCCCCCACGGGGGTGGTTCGTGGTTCTTCGCCCCGCCATGGGAATTTTAGGGGGGGGCGGGGATATACTTTTTAAGGAGCTCCCGTCCCCCTCCCGGTGCATGCGCCGGTTCCGGTGGGGTCGGGACGGAACCGGGACGGGGTTGGTGGGTTTGGGGGTGTTTTTTGGGGCGGTTTATCAACTTTTCTCTAGTATTTTCACACGGAAACATTAAACGGACGAAACACGGCTTGAGCCCCTCCTGTGCCCCATGCGCTTAAACGGACGAAACACGGCTTGAGCCCCTCCTGTGCCCCATGCGCGGTCGGTGTCCGCCGGGGCCTCCCGTTGGCACCGCCCCACGTGTCACCACCCACGTGGCGGGACCGCAGCCTGCTTCCGCTTCCGTCCACGTGATGCACTCCCAAGCTCCGGGGGACACGTCGCGGCTCGTTCGCCGTAGCTTTCTCCCCGCCAATCAGGAGGCGCCGTACGCGGCACGCCCAGCCCCTCCGCCTGAGTGCGCGGCGGCTCGGCCAATGGGAGCGGCCGTGCTCAGAGTGGCGACCAATGGCGAGTGAGGGGGGGGTGCGGCGGA